CTCGAGGTTACTTTTGAAACGAAATTGACTTTAAATGTGTTTCGAAACGACTTGTAACGAAATGAGAGAAGCGACCTACATCAGCATCCTGAGTGCCCGACCTTCAACAAGCACGGATCAGCGGTTTTCCACATTAGATACCAGGTTCTCTCGGTTCTCGCGCCATTTTTTGGCGTCCTTTTTAAAACGGGTGTGAAATGTGGAAGCTTATAATTCGAAGGAACGAACGGTTGCTCGCAGTGGTTTCTCCCTCGTTCGGCGTAGGAGAAACCAACAGCTTGTAGGGTAGCTTGCTGCAAAATAAATTTATGAAACTCGACAACATTTGTGTTTCTTTATTTTCATTCTCGTTGACACGTTTAGTTTTCTCTTTTTCCAATTCCACTTATACAGAGACCACAGGAAATCTTTAACTGGCACGGAAAATATTTTTCACGGCACAAATTACAAAAGAAAATTCTGGTGAAACGGCCTCCGCTTCTGAGAAATTTTTCTTGCGGGACACAGCGCGTAATCCCGAGCGGGCAAGATAGCGCCATCTTGCCTGCTCACGTAGCCAATCACAGTGCAGGATTTGATTCATCTTGCAAGCTCACGGAGTTAGCCATACATTAATGAGCGTTTCTGTAGACGGCCTACGGCTCGAAACTTACCCTTGGATTAACTCTTACTCTTCAGGTCCATATATAGGGGATTAACTAGATAACTCTTACTTTCTAACTCTTACTCTTCAGATCCATATGGGGAATTAACTCTTACTCTTTAGGTCCATGCCATATGGGGGATTAACTCTTACTCTTCAAAATTCAAATGCGAAATAGCACGTTTGGACATAAGGCGGACTTTTACTTTGGAAAAACGATGGATCGGTGACAACCAATCAGCGTTTGGGGTTGAACAATGTCTCAAACCACTTATTTCACTTGTTTTCACGACGTAATTTATACCTCCATAAATAATCTAGGAGCTGCCGGCCCGCATATTTGTTTATAGAGTTCCATTTTTTTTTTATGGTTTTATTATAAAATTTTCTTTTGCCACGTAATATACCGTTGAAAAAATGGGGAGATTTCTACTTCGTTTCCTAAGCGACTAATCGCTACTATTCAAATTTCGTTTTGTGCAAGTTTCCATTTTGACTACTATTAATTTCTTTGTGGTTTTAGGCAGAATACATGTTTATCAAATTTCTGTTTGGAATAGTTTTGAAGATCATCATGCCCAGACGCGTGTTTTTTTTTTACTTGACGTGGTTATTTCTTACTATTTTATAGCGGTAGTTAATTTTTATCCTGTTTGGGTCTACTTTGAAATTGAAATCCAATGTCGGCCAGCAGGCTTTTCAAAACACTAAATTTCGTGTTTTTAAATATGTAGTTGCCTTCTTCAATTTACTTGAATTGAAAATCAATTTTTTCAACTCTTTCTAGAAGATTTGCTGTGCCACTTTTCAAATGTAAGTGTACGTTGGGGTTGATTTTATCATGTTCGTGACATAAATTTAAATTGAAGCTCTTTAATTGACCTTTTCGTCGCAGCTTGCGGAAAGCTTCTCAACACACTCCGTATATGTATATGTCATGGCGCAATTTTCCTAATAATCCTTTTTAGTAGTATAAAAAACCTTTTCTGAGAAACCTTGCAGCTTAGAGTAAGTAAAAAAAATACCGTCATACCGTCTAATTTGGTTAAAAGAGTCCAAATATTTGACAAGCTGACCACCACAATGCAACCCTTTCAAAGGAAGCACTCGCAGAATTCATTGTTTTGGCTTCGGCTTATTTTCTTGATATTGAAAATTCGCAGACGCTGGGCGTTGATGCTAAATAATTAATGTGTACTCTGTTTGGATTTAATTTTGATTCAATGTTCAGCAGATCATTGCTTATTTTAGCAGAAGCAAATTTGATGATTATTGTCTGCTTTCGAACAAGTTCATTGGCCTTCAAAGTGGGTGAATATATTAATTCACAAATCAGCATTGCATATTTAAAATGAGAAGAATGAATGAGACTGCGGAATTCTTATTTGTAAGACGAAAATAATTTGTCATCTTTCGCTGCATTTAAGCAGCGCGCTTTGTATACATTTCTAGTTTAGCAACCAGTGACAAAATAAAAACGGCAAGCAAAATCATATAATTCCCGGTTTCGTTTCAAGAAAAGTTTCAATTTGCAAATAAAAGCATCAGTAGTCATTTCACTTACTTATAGTGAGGAGACCACTTTCTTGTTGCTGCCTCTTTATTTATTCCACCCCTTGTGCCTTGATTGCGACTACTGTCGAGGATTCCGCCGTGACCACATTTGCTGACGTTAGTTGGCTTTGAAATATCCTGCCCTCCGTAATATCCACTGGTTATTTTCTGTATTATCAAGTTGTTATCGCAGTTTTCATTTTGTTTTATAGCCAGCGGACAGGAAATGCAAGTTTCTTCGTTTGGTTTTGCGACATACTGAGAAGGAATCGAATTTGCTGGATTTGTTAGTGCGTAAAATTTTCGCACTCCATTTTCAAGTTCGACCCAATTTGAGTGGCTGTAAAAGTCTTGTAGCGTGTGTAAATATTGACCAGCAAGTTGACGAGCGTATTCAAATTTGACGCCTTTCAATAACGATGTTACTATTTGTGATTTCAACTCTAACAGTCGCTTTGACCCTTCCTTAAACTGTTCACCGCTAAAATGAGCGGCAGCGACACTCCGCAAAGGCGCTGTATTTACTTCTGCGTTTGAGCTTTGTATTTCGGTGATAGCGTTTTGTAGACGCATTTTGGACATCATCACACTGAACAGATTTTGAACCTTACCAGGCGCACTTGCCGTGATCACCATTCTTTGTAAATCTTCAAATTTTACAACCATTTCTTCGTCGATATATTGCGGATTATCCTTTATGAATTCTATCAGACATCGCAAGAGCCCAATGTTCGTAATGATAGCATGGTCGAGAGTTTTTAGTGCACTTTCTCGATCAAGTTCTAACATAGCAGACGAGAAAAACGCCTCAGAAGCAGTGGAAAACGTCAAGAAAATCACAAGGGCACGAGGAAGAGCCATGTATCATGAGCGTTTTTGTGTAAAGCCACGAGATAGCGGCGTCACTGAACAAACGCAGCTGGTAGCGGACAAGAAAGTTGACAGCTTACTGTGCCAAGCAGCACGCGCTTGTTTTGTGTATTGTTCTGAAATCATTTTTGTCTGCAAAACGCCAAAGGATATTTGAATATTTATAGGGCTTATTGTTTTGTTTTCTGAGTGCAAATAATCTATAAATAATTAATCTCGCTAGCTGAAGGAAAATAAAGTGAAACAGAACAGTCTGCAATGAAAATGCGGCTGATGATGTTTAAGATTATTTACATGCGGTACTATTTTGACAGGTATTACTACAGAGCGCGTTAAATCAGCGGTCGATTCTTTTCTCTTTCCTATTTTTAGATTTTACTCTTTTTGAAAACATTGCTTCAAAATCTACTGTACTACTTTATTTGACTTCACTTGACGCTTCCCTAAGTGTGTACTGTCGTTAACACGGAGATACATTTGCTTTATATTCAGTAAGTTTTACTGTATTACTGGGCCATCTGTTGAAAAGCCATTATTATCTCCAGTCATGTTTGTTTTATATCATAAAGCTTCAAGCATACAACACGAAAACAAGATTTAAAGCTTTGTGAAACTTTTCTTTTCTTTTAAGTCCCCACTTTTATTAGTTATTTTATTTTAACTTTTTCCTTATCTGTCTATAACTGTTTTTGGTGTAGATATAGGTATCGATGAATTTTGCGTTTATAACGCAAAATCAGAATGTTGTGATTAGCTTTGTTCGCCTTTCATTTCAACTTCTTTTCCAGTATCGGCAATGTTTCACGTAATTACCACAATCAAAAAAAAAATTGTTCTCTGTAACTGTTACTTAAGGGCCCATTAACCGATTTATGCACGCGCTCGCGTGCGTTGCTAAGGAGGTGAAATTTCACTTCCGGTTACTTACGTCAGCTTGAGCGCGGAAAATAAAAACTCAATAACTTCCAAATTCGCCTACATTTTAGATGTTTTTCTTTGTGTTTCACAAAATGCAAAGTAAAAAAGGTACAAGCAGAGACAAAATAAGAAAAAGACAGAAAAACAGGAGCAATAGAAAGAGAAAAACTAACTCCGTGTGGCTTTGTTTGATCTTACCGAAGTGCGCTGGTAGTGTAAATTGCGCACGCGCTGAT